GAAAGGTTTTTTGTATTCATGTATTTTCTTACTAGCTTTCTGGGTCACTGTGTTACCGTATTAAAAAGTGGCTACACAGTAGTTAAGCATTTGTCTGCAGAAGTATTGGATGTTAGAAATTCACTTCAAAATATCCTATCTAATAAAGAGGGAATATGCTAATTGACCCTCATGCTGTTGCAAAGATGGCGGCGCTCACAGCCAATAAGGAGGGAATATGTTAATTGACTGTCACACCCTCAAAGATGGTGGTGCCCACAGCCAATAAGGAGGGAATATGCTAATTGACTGCCACACCCTCAAAGATGGCAGTGCCCAGTCCCCTCAGCCCCACCGGGGCAGCAGGCCTGCCTCTGGAGTCCCCCAGTCCCCTCAGCACCCCAGCCACCCAGGGCTGCCCGAGGCTCAGGTAACCAGGGCCGGCCAAGGCTTGCGCTGCTGGCAGTGGCAGCAGCAGAGGTGTGATGGCAGCAGCAGAGGTGTGATGGGGGCGTTGCCTTCCCCTGATCGCTGGGTCTCCTCCTGCCCTTGAGGGCTCCTGGACTGTGAGAGGGGGGAGGTCAGGGTGAGGGACACCCCCCCCCCCCCTTCCAGTGCCTGAATTTTCATGCACTGGGCCTCTAGTTAATATATATTTTTGCACAACTTACTTCTTTCATCTTGGTTTGCTGTATACCCTTCGCTTCCATCTCCTATTATATGTGCTGTTTACTTGTTTTTTTTTAGATCCTTAATATGCTGTTTCGTATAGATAGTATAAGTAAACATTTTTTTGGAAGGAAACTTCTGTTTGCTAGTCAATAACTGTTTCAGTGACCTATCTCTGAGTAAAATGGATCTGATTTGGGCCTTTACTATTTTGCTTTCCCTAGTAAGGTGCCATCTCATCTAGACAGTTTTCTTTCATCTTTGGTAAATGTTGCCATTAAAGTATTCTGCGGAAGATGTTCACTCTTCTCATTCCAGAAGAGGTTTTTTTCAACTGTTAACTGAAGAGGGGTTTGGATTAGAAGTATCCAAAGTGCTTGCCAGCTCTGAATGTTCACAGGTGGTACCACAGTGAGTCTCCACCGTGGGGGTGATTCTGTGAGCTGAGCTGTCTCCTGTGGCCCCTCCTCACCCCCAGACACGTGCATCTTCTGAACCTTGTTCTTGTCTCAGAAAATACTTGCCAGTAGGGCACTGAGCAGAAACTAAAATTACTGTCTTCATTTTATATATATCTGTATGTATATCTATAGATATCTGTACCGTTTACTATATAATATCACACATAGTTAAAATACTTGCTATCATAAATTACTAAGAAATATTTTGTAAAATGATATCCTAATTAAAAAAAAATTCTTACCTGAGGATATGTTTCCATTGATTTTTAGAGAGAGAGAGAGAGAGAGAGAGAGAGAGAGAAAGAGAAACATGGATGTGAGAAACATTAATCACTTGCCTCCTGCATGCACCCCCAACTGGGGATCAAACCCGCAACCTAGGTATGTGCCTTGACCAGGAATCAAACCTGCAACCTTTTGGAGGATGATGCTCCAACCAACTGAGCCACCCAGCCAGGGCGCTATCCTAATTTTTATAATGGAACCCCCCCACCCCCCCAGATTCCCTGATTCTTAATTCTTATTTAATAGGTTCCTGACTTACAGATAAATCTAAGGTCCATGAGGACAGTAGGGAGTTTTGTTTGTTTTTATTTAGACATCTGCAGCACCTAGACCAGTGCCAGGACCACAGAAAGTGCTCAGTAAATATGTTTTGAACAAAAAATGTGATTTGAGATTTAACTTGGTATTTAACGCCAAATCAAACATAACTACAACTTGAATATTTATTGTCCAAGTGATAATTATGAGAATTCTTTGATAACACCTAAAACTTGTATTTCTATTTTTTCTTTTTAACAATCTATAAATATGCTATTCAGGGTGGTAGCCACTGCCTACAGGTGTATACTTTTGACTTGAAACATGGCTAATAGGAATTGAGATATGCTGGTGTGAGGAACTGAGTTTCAGAGACTCAATAACACAGAATGTAAACTCATGTTTAAGTATTGATTGCATGCTGAACTGATAATGTTTTACATATACTGGGTTAAATAAAAATTGTTATTAAAATTAATTTCACTCTCTTTTTGGGTTACTTTTTAAATGTGGCTATTAGAAATTTTAATACTACATAGATGGTTCTGATTTGATGGCTCATTGAACAACACTGATCTAGACACAGAAATGTAGATATTGAATGTAGAGAAGGGAGCACCCTCCCAAAAGGAGCTTTAAATGGACATCTTTGATAGAAACAAAATTATATGTTGCAGCTGTGACTTGGAAACGTGGGTATTCAAATGGTCTTGATCAAATTAAAAAAAGGCCAAAATAAATTAATTAGATTAGCTCAAATGAGAAATATGAAATCCAGCTACCAGATGGATTCCTAGCATAGTCGCCAGCCCAGTCTTGAGGTCAGAAAAGGGGCAGGCAGGCGGTGGTGGCTGTCCGAGCAAGTGCGAGCCGCCACTAATGACAGACTTAAAGCCATAGATTTTGAACTTCTCTGCCCGGAGCTCACCTGATTGTGGTCCCAGTTGTGGTGGGCAACGTGTTTGCTTGATTCCAGGTAATGCTGCTGTTTTTCATGCCGCTGGGAAATGGACTCTCAGTGGCGGGATGGGGGAAGTGGAAGCGCAAGTGTCAGGTAGGATTGCTTTCAGCGAGGGTTGTGTTTTGTCCTTTCCCACGCCTGCAGGCAAGTTCTTTCCCCCCTTCTGCTCCACTCCCTGGCAGCTTCTCCGGGCTGTGCCTCTGCTGGGGTCAGAGGACCTGACCTTGCCTTGCCTCTGGGCTCCTTTCCCCTGGAGCTGCCTGGGAACCCTCTCCAGTCAGGAGCATTTCCTCCCGCAGCACGTGGTAGACCCTGGAGGATGAGGCCCTTATCCTGGAAAAACAAGGCCATCCAGGACATAGAAGTAGACATTACCTTCCTTAAGCTAATTTGAAAGGTTATTTTGGTAAGTGGTTAGTCTGCACGGCTGGTTTAAGCTGTTATCAAGTCCATTTCAGTATTTATTTCCTTGAAAGCTAGAATGAGCCTTGAATAAATGAAGACTGACTGCTTAGGCTGTTTAAGGAGTAAATTTAATTTATAAGTATTTGTTTTATTTGGCACTGGAGATTTTGATTCTCTTTTGGATTTTAAAGTAGGTGTGTAGTAAAGCAGCATGTGTGTAAATAAAATAGCTTTCGTGCTGCTCATCTTATTTTCACCCACCTGACCTCTGTTTTTTGGAGAAAGTACATCAGAAAATTCATGGCAGTTAGCGGCAGAGTGGAGAGACCTTTGACTTTTGCTGACAGCTGTCACCTGAACACTAGAGACCTAGAGACCCCCTCAGGTGTTATGTCTGTAGTTCTGACAGTGAATGGGAATGTTGTTTACATTTTCTGTAAGCAAAATTCTCCCCTTGTTAGGAAGATGTTAGAGTAGGGCAGGCAGAAACGGATTTTTTTATCTGTCTTATTGGTAAGTTCTCAGCAGTGTTGGGTGGCCCATTGTTCATCGTCATGCTTTCAGAGAAGTGTGTCAGTGGAATTTATGACTGAGCCTGTTTATAGCATCACTTTGGAAATTCTTCCATAGACATTGTTTTTTCAGGTTGGGCAGAATCATACAATGCTTCATGTGCTCATGAAAGAGGGGAAAAATGAGTTAAATTCCAAAGATGTTTAAGATTTCAGACATTTTTCCGATGTGAATTAGTTCTTTATTAAGTTCATGTAATTAGCATTCAACAAAAATACTCTGTTTTGCTTGTTGAGACATTCTTTAAATCGGTTATTTTAATCGGACATAGAGTCTGTTAGGAACTGTTTGAATAAAGTGCGGAACATTAGGTAGCGTGTAATGTGTGCTGTAGACACAGCATGCTGACGGGTGTGCCTGCCCTCTTTCCCCCTACCTGCTCATGTCCTTCCTGCCTTGTCCCAAAAGAAGTTAAGATAAGGGTAGGGCTGCGTGGGTATTTTGAACTTCAGTTCTCACCCGTTTTGGGGAAAGTTTTCTGTTTCTATTGATGAGAATAGTCATGGTCCAGAAACTGCTCATGCAGAGAGTCTGTCTGAGTGGTCACATGGGCCCCTGCTCTGGTTCATCACCAGAGCCGGGTGCCTCTGGGTGAATAATGAACCTGTGATTGGACTAGCTCTGCTGGCAGTGTTAACCAGGAACGTGGTGGGCCCAGAGCCGCAAGCGAAATCAGTCCTCTTGGAGCATGGATGCTTTTCCGCTGGTCCTTCCTGAATCTTGTATATTCCTGCCATTAAATGTGATGAAATCATGAATTTATTATACTCTACAAACTTGCTTTCCAACGTCGTTATGAATGCTTTTCCACTCGACACCTCTGTTGCTGTTCCATAGTTGTATGTGGGCCGCAAATATCTAATTTGTACGAAATGACTGATTTTGGTATTTGTATAATCCTCTAGTCAATTTAACTAAGTTGAGCTTTTCACAGCCCTCGGTGCTGCGGCTGCTCATCTGATTACACTGCTCAGGGGAATACGGTGGAGGGCGGGCTGTTGGTAACCAGAGCATTTCCAGGGCTTTAGTTCAGCAGATGGGCTGCTTGGCTATATTCATACATCTGCTTGCCTGCTGTGGCAGCTGCTGCTGCTTCATGTTGTGTTCTTTTGTTCTGTTCCATCCAAGAATGGAACGCTAGGAAGTGTAGTGAATGGATTAATTTAAGGTTAAGGTTAGTGTTTTGCTTGCTTTCTAAGTAACCGATCATAATAATGCTTCTGGTAGAAGCTAATGAGTTTCTCTTAAAGTGAACTAGATTTAGAAAATACAGCTCGGCGAGGGGGCTAGATTAGTATTGTTGATGGAAACCAAATTCAAATGTGTAAAATACTGGCAGTTTCCGCCATTTGTTCCTAATTCTTTGTTTTCTTCCTTCCTCCTCCCACCCTCCCCCTCCCCCCTTCCAGGACCTATATCCAGACTTTGCCTGACACTGCGGGGTCCAAGAGAATTAAAGGAATATAGAATGACAGGAAGAAGATTAGTTGAGGATTACAGGCCTTGAGGACGAGCACCTCAGTGAAGAGAAGCACAGACAAGCTCCCGAGCTATAGTTGGGAGGAAGGAGCCGCGTGTTGGAAGAAGATGGCGGATCCAGGAATGATGAGTCTCTTTGGCGAGGATGGGAATATTTTCAGTGAAGGCCTCGAAGGCCTTGGCGATTGTGGTTACCCTGAAAATCCAGTGAACCCCATGGGTCAGCAAATGCCCCTAGACCAGGGCTTTGCCTCTCTACAGCCCTCCCTTCACCATCCCTCCCCTAATCAGAATCAAACCAAGTTGACCCATTTCGATCACTATAATCAGTATGAGCAGCAGAAGATGCACCTCCTGGACCAGCCGAGCAGGATGATGAGCAGCGCCCCTGGGAACGGACTCGCGTCTCCTCACTCGCAGTACCACACCCCTCCCGTTCCTCAGGTCCCTCACAGCGGCAGCGGCGGCGGGCAGATGGGAGTCTACCCTGGCATGCAGAATGAAAGGCACGGGCAGTCCTTTGTGGACAGTGGCTCCATGTGGGGCCCCCGGGCTGTTCAGGTACCGGACCAGATACGAGCCCCCTACCAGCAGCCACCGCAGCCGGCTCCATCGGGGCCCCCCGCCCAGGGCCACCCTCAGCACATGCAGCAGATGGGCAGCTACATGGCACGTGGGGATTTTTCCATGCAGCAGCACGGGCAGCCGCCGCAGAGGATGAGCCAGTTTCCCCAAGGTCAAGAGGGCCTCAATCAGGGAAACCCTTTCATTGCCACCTCAGGACCCGGCCACCTGTCCCACGTGCCCCAGCAGAGTCCCAGCATGGCACCTTCCCTCCGTCACTCAGTGCAGCAGTTCCACCACCACCCCCCCACTGCTCTCCATGGGGAATCCGTTGCCCACAGTCCCAGATTCTCCCCTAATCCTCCTCCACAAGGGGCTGTCAGGCCGCAAACCCTTAACTTTAGTTCTCGGAGCCAGACAGTCCCCTCACCTACTATAAACAACTCAGGGCAGTATTCTCGATATCCTTACAGTAACCTAAATCAGGGATTAGTTAACAATACAGGGATGAATCAAAATTTAGGCCTTACAAATAATACTCCAATGAATCAGTCCGTACCCAGATACCCCAATGCTGTAGGATTCCCATCAAACAGTGGTCAAGGACTAATGCACCAGCAGCCCATCCACCCCAGTGGCTCACTTAACCAAATGAACACACAAACTATGCATCCTTCACAGCCTCAGGGAACTTATGCCTCTCCACCTCCCATGTCACCCATGAAAGCAATGAGTAATCCGGCAGGTACTCCTCCTCCGCAAGTCAGGCCCGGAAGTGCTGGGATACCAATGGAAGTTGGCAGTTATCCAAATATGCCCCACCCTCCGCCGTCTCACCAGCCCCCTGGTGCCATGGGAATTGGACAGAGGAATATGGGCCCCAGAAACATGCAGCCGTCGCGTCCATTTATGGGCATGTCCTCAGCGCCGAGGGAGCTGGCCGGGCACATGAGACCAAATGGTTGCCCCGGTGTTGGCCTTGCAGATCCACAAGCAATCCAGGAGCGGCTGCTACCTGGCCAGCAGCACCCTGGTCAGCAGCCATCTTTTCAGCAATTGCCAACCTGCCCTCCGATGCAGCCCCACCCGGGCTTGCACCACCAGTCTTCACCCCCACACCCGCATCACCAGCCTTGGGCACAGCTCCACCCATCGCCCCAGAACACCCCGCAGAAAGTGCCTGTGCCTCAGGTAAGGAAACGCCGATCCTGCCTGCCCTGTGGTAGGCAATGTAGCTTGGTGAACTTAACTAATAGAATTTTCCTTTACACTTCACGAAAAGCATTTTCATGATGAGAGCCTTATTTTTAAGATGCCCCGGAATCTCTCTCTCTCTCTCTTTTTTTTTTACTCTTGCTCCCTTATTCACTTATTCAAAAAGTCTCGAATCCTCCTGTCCCAGGAATTGTGCTAGATGCTGAGAATGCAAAGTTAACGAAGTGCAGTCCCTCCCTACAGGGTCTGTTCTCACTACCCACAGGGCGGTGCACTTTGGACTCAGGACACATGTCTTTTTCTTCTTCTATTCTTTCTGTTTCTATCTTCCTCTGGTTTTAAAAGACATAAAACTTTGCAGTTTTACGTGTTTGTGGTAGTCCCTTCCACTTCTTTTAGAAAATTATAACTTTTTTTTCCTTGGGAAGCTACAAACTGTGTTCTTCTGTAATATTTCTCTTACCAACTGTTGAATGTTAGTGTGAATTTAAATTGCAAACTGTAGAAAATCAAAGTAACCAATAACCCACAGAAACTGCTTGGTCTCTAAGGGACTTTGGTTCCCAGCACTGAGGCAGGATTCTTCCTCTTTGTAAGCTGGGATTTTTGTTATCCTGTAGAATTTATAAGCAGACAGACTTAAGTTTCACGCTCTAGCATTCACAAAGACATCTTCCCTTTATAAATGTTGGTGTTTTTGCCCTCCGTCTGGGAAAAATAAACTAATATCTATGTGTACAGGTTGTTCCCAGTGCTAGCCAAAACCACGTATCGATCTTCCACTATGATTGCAACTCTAAGTTTGGATGGCACAGTAGGTGATGTTAGAGCTGTAAGACACAATGCTTGTTCTTAATGAACTTCAATCAGTTTGGGGAAACATGGCCGACGTGAAAATACGACGAGTGTCCAGGGGGTGCATGAGGGTGCTTGGAATTTGGCTGGGACTTAGCCATGGAGAGTGTACACACTCAGGATGCCATTTCGGGTCGGGGGATGATTGGTTAAATGGGGCAGGGCAGAGCCAGGCCTGGTATTCTGTTGTAAGGAATTTAGACTTCAGTGGGCAGCCAGTGAAATCAATTAGACAGTCCACAGGATGGCTGGGGGACCAGAAAATGAATTGTGAGCCTGTGATCCAGGCCTGTGAGGACAGTTTAGACCAGGGATCAGGGAGTGGGACAGAAGGGATTGAAGCAATGTGAACATAAAAAGGTTTGGTCAGGAAACAAAGCCATTTGGGGCATCACAGCATCACAGCTGGGAGGCATTTATTTTATCATTTTAATATATTTTTATTGATTGATTTTAGAGGAAGATATATATATATATATCTTGTTGTTCTACATATTTCTGCATTCATTGGTTGATTCTTGTATGTGCCCTGACTGGAGATCAAACCTGCAACCTTGGGGTATTGAGACAACACTCTAATCAACTGAGCTACCTGGCCAGGGCTTGGAGAGGCATTTAGAACAGACTCAGAAGGTTCAGTTACGGGGTGTTGGGGGAGAGATACAAGACTCGGGAAGTGGGAGTCAGGAAACCTCAGGACACAGGACATGTAGGGACTTGGGGAAGCCACCCTCAGAGGCCAGGGATTCTCAGGAGGAGCCACGAGATCAGTGGGAGCCGCCCTGCTTGCTGCCCGTGAGAGCGGCTTCCTGTCTTCTCCTAACCTGCGGCCCAGGGGGGAAGCTTCTGGGACCTGTGGTTCCTGACCAGTCTGTAAGGGGAGGTGAGAAGGTGGTCTGACAAGATGCTGGAG